AACCGCGCTTGTTTTCCCCATCCGAGCACTGTGGGATGAGATAACTGTCCCGCCAGGCAGTTGCATAAAATCCCTGCCTAAAAAATGCTCCAGGTCCTCTCCGTGACTCAACCTGGTCAGGTCACCTGGGCTGCAGGGCCCTGTGCTCCTACGGCTGGGCACAACACCACAAACTCACACTGAAAGTATGCTTGGGTTTGGTTGTGTTTGTCTCAGAGACAACCGGAGACAGAAATGAGTTTGTTTACTCAATAAATAAATAAGTGAATTTATTGCTGACGCTTTCTGGGGTGCACCATATTTTAACCGTAAGTTGTAAGGGTTTACTAATAAAAGGTAATTAATAATAGGAATGACCTCGTTCTAAGCGAAAGTTATAATCTGTATTGATTTATCTGGAGGGAAACTACTTATTTCTATGATGTTGAAAGTAAAAGTAGGGAGAAGAGGAATGTTTCACATACTGGAGGGAGGCAGTGAAATTCTAAAGGAGAAAGTGAAATATCTCCCTGATAATTTGAGGACTTAATGCATATGGAATAACATCGTTTTTTCTGGCTCAACTTTGTGCCTTTGGGATCAGTGGGGGCACTGTGAATTCGGTTTCTATCTTGGATTCCTGTGGGCATTAACATCTTGTCATTGCCAGTTTGTAAGGACAGCATTCCCAAAGAAGCAGTAGCCAAGATATGTGGATTTTCTTGACCCTTCTCACAGAGAAACACAAACCCTGACTGATTTAGCCACAGCACAGTGTGGGTGGTTTGGGTTTGTTTTTTTTTTCTTGTGTGGTTTTTTTTTGATGGGTTTGGGGTTGGTTTGTTTATTGCAGCTGCAGTTTTGCTCAGTGGGTTCCTGGTGTGCAGTGTGCTGGTTTCTGCTGCACCTGGACCTTCTGCAGCTTTACCACCACATTTACACAGGTGTTACACAGAATCACAGAATGATGAGGTTGGGAGAGACCTCTGAGATCACTGAGTCCAACTTATGCCTTGACACCTTACCCAGACTACAGCACCAAATCTTTTTTTAACACATCCAGAGATGGTGATTCCACCACCTCCCTGGGGAGAGCATCCAGTACTTTATTATTCTTTTGGTGAAATTTTTTTCCTAATATCCAACCTGTCCCTTCCCTGATGTAGCTGAATTCTGTGTCCTGTGGTTCTGTCACACCAACCCCACCTGGCTGTAACCTCCCTGCAGGAAGGTGTTGGATGTGAAAAACGCCAGTCACTTGTTTTTAAAATTTTAGACGTTTAATAGTAATAGAATGGTTATAAAAATAGTAATACAATTAGAGTAATAATAATTTGGATTAGGACAATGTGAGACAATAGAAACAAAGAGTTACAGACAGTCTGGGTACCTTTTCTGGGCAAAATAAGCCTGAAAAAGGCCCCACGTTAACAGAGGATTAACCCTTAAATGCTACAGCCTGTTGCATATTCATACAGCTCATCCATGGTGCATAAATTCCATTCACACACAGGATTCTGGCTGGGCAGTGTCACCTTCTTCCTCTGAATCCTAAATGGCATCATTCTGCCCGAGTGAGGCAGGAAGAAGTTCATTTCTCCTGATAATGGAGCAATAAATTCTCTTTCTCTGAGAGATTCAGGTGTCCTGTGGCTACTATCTCAGTGCCAGTCCTTTCTTTAGAAAAAGTATCTTAAATAGCACAGTTTCTATTTTATCATTTTGTTATAACCTAAAACTATATTTAACACACTACTTAAGAGAATTAACACAGCAGAACTTTCTAACACAACACAAAATAATTTGAATATTTGCGAACAGCCAATCACAAAATACCCATTTTTCACATTAGAGGTGCCTGAGGTGAATCTCCGCAGTTTCACCGTGTAAATCACTGCCCACACAGGCAGGGCTCTCACCTATCCCCGTGCTCCCCGGCAGATCTGATGCCTTCGTTCATCCGCCACGGCCCCACCATTCCCCGGCGCA